TTATTTGGTGGCTCAGACCAGGCCGAACCACCATTCAGTGGCTCACATAGTTCTGAGTCAAAAACACGTTTTTGATGGGATTTCTTAGGATTTTGTCGTTTTAGAGCCTCCCAACTACTTTGATACTATTCCTAAACATGGTTAAGCGGTTGTTAACTGCAGATAACATCAAATCATCAGTTTTTATCCTAAAACACTACAACCGAAGCCTATAAATATAAGCATAAGGCCTTCATTTACAGGGATCTGAAATCTAAAGGCGAGGTGCTGTCAAATTGAAGAGTGGAGCACAAATTTCAGATGAGGGCTAGCAGATCTTGGCGAACTTTAGCATAAAGAGGAAGCTATTCGAAGGATCTGAGGCCCGTCCCCCCTTTCCTCCGGATCAAAACCAACGTAATCTCGCTTGGTCGAGATTATCATTTCTGCGATTGTTTCCTTTATGAAGAAAGAGCATTAATTAACTTTTCTGTCAACCGGATCTGATACATGGCTGTCCACGAACTAACGTGTCCCCGGCACAGGCAAAGATCCATGCGAAACAGTGGGTGATTAACGTCCGTTGTGTATGTTTTAAGGAGATTGTATTTGTTTATTTTTTCATTGTGTAAGAAGGTCTTATAAAAAGATTGACTTTTCTCTTTTTTGAATTTATAATCGATAAATGATTGTAACAGATTCAATGACAATGAATAAACCAATTTTCAAGGAAAACAGTGGTATCAGAACACAACAAGTGGTATCAAAGCACAACAAGTGATATTAGAGCTTTGGCTACGCTTGGGGATTGGTGGAGGAGTAGATCGCTTTGGAAGCTCGTCTAGGGTTTTAGTTTGTGACAAATGTGGGATTTTTACTATTATGGATCTTGTCTTACGTCATGTGGGGGTGAGATCTTTTGGAGGCTCTTGTTGTTGAAAATTTATCAAATAAAATTATAGCATGTAAAATAAATCCTAAATAAAATAATAAGAAAGTCTGGCCTGATTGAGAGCAGTCGTGTAAACACTACCCTAGAAGATTGAGGACCCGCCTATCACCCTGGCGCAGATGATCCTCTCTCCCCTAGCATTAAAAACCCCTGGAAGCAGCCGACCTCTGTACTTGGGCGAGAGAATAGAGCTTCAACTCAGACGAAGAACGGTTGCCCAAAATAACACCAATATATGAACGAAAATAATATGCAGAGGAGAGAAGAGGAAGAAGAGAGCATTGTTTCTTTATGTTTCCGAATGTGAATAAGGGGTGTATATATAGGGTTGAGAAAGTCATTATAATTCCTACAATTAATACGGTAAAGTTCGTCGTAAATTTTCGTAACGTTCCCCATAATGTATAGCTATTACGCACGTTTTAATTTTATTCATAACACTATTCCATGTGGGACTATTTATAAAGGCAAAATTTTCTTTTCTCCAACAAAATATCCAACAGTCCCCCCATAAAAGGCAATATTGACTAAAAACTCAAAATCAATAAATAAAATAATAAATTACAAAACAAATAGAGGTTGGGAAACCTTTCGTATTGAAAATTCGGGAGAGGTATCTTTCAGCTTTGAACCTTTTCTTAGTGAGTTCATCGTCACCTGAGGGACATAATGGACTAGGCCTTGAATTAGGTCTCTTTAACCAGGTATTGACGAAAACACACATAATATGTCTTTATTTATTAAGCAAAACGGGTTGAACGTTAAAGGCCATGCTCACAATAAACGGACTCATGAGAGTTTCTTAGGGTTAGCCCAACGCTCCCCCCAACCGTAGCCGTCACGGTTCCTCTCACATAGGTAAGTCCTCCAGTGGTACTATAGCTGGATATCATACCCTCCGTAATACACGTGTTGGACTTATTAAGAGTAAAACTCATCCTAACCAGCTATATCATAAGAGCATCATCATCATAGAGAAGGGGAAGTAGCACATGCTACTATAATGATATATAAATATATCTAGGTCGATG